ATCTCACCGGTTCTGGCCCAGGCTCCACTGGTTCCTCATCACCGAACAGATCGACTTCAAGATCCTCACACTCGTGTTCAACTCCCTTCATTCTCTGGCACTTCATGACCTCTCCAACCTCCTCACCTCCCAATCCACCACCCGGCGCCTCCAACTCAACTGGCACCGGCCTCCTGCTCGTCGCTCGCACCCTCCGCCCCACCATCGGAGGTCGCGCTTCCATCACTACGCCCGAAACTCTGGAACACTCTCCCTCTATCCCTCCCCCTTACCCCCTCTCTTCCCTCCTTCAAGTCCCGCCTGAATAGCTTCCTTTTCGACCGTGCTTACAGCCCCCTCCCCCCGGTTCAGAGTCAGGCTCCGCCACTGTTATGCCGCTGAGACGCTGCCCTACATCGAGGGCACTATATAAGTGCAAGTTGTTGTTCTTGTTGTCGTTGAAAGAAGATATCCCTGAGAGCCCCTTCAAAAGCAAGTAGAAGTACGGGAACCAAAGCTCTTTTACTTTCAAGGACATCTACATATAGCTAGTCACCGTCTGAAAAAATACATCTGTTATAAACTATTTATAATTAATTCACCCGTTCAGCTTGTTTATTAGGTAAGCGATGTATTTTAGGCCAAATATACCATCAAATAATTCCCTGAATTAAATCCTCACACATAGGAAAAACAGAACAATAAAAATCTGGCAGGAGCTTTAAAACCGCAGAACAAAATAACACAGGGAATCGCTAATAATCAGCTGAATCGCTTTTCCCAAGTTCTTATGTTCTCGATTTGTAACATTTAAAGTGTGAAATTTGGAAGTAAATTGAGATGGGGCTCAAACCTTACAAGAACTTTTGGGGGTCAGCCGTGTGTCTGACACGCGCGGAAACCCATTACCGTTGCGTAAGAATCTCCAAACCAAGCTGAGAAATCCCAGAGATATATTGTTGGAATGGAATGCGCTCTCTCTCTCTCTCTTTCTTTCTATCGCTCTTCCTGGAGAGACGCATCCTGCTTACCTAATTCCAGAAAGTATTAGGCACAGGTTGGCAAGAGCCCAGGCTTGGGAGCGAGCCCAGAGTGTGCGTTGGGGTAACTGCTGGAGTCTAACCGCACAGCTTGCCTTTGATATCGCTGACCGTTATATATACTTGGTCTTTACTGAGTGTAGAAATGTTCAAGTGATTTAAATGCAAAGCCCCAAAATAGTTCCTTTTATTTTCGCCCACAAACTATACAGTCAATTTACTTTACAGTATACAGCTGTGAAGCACTTCGAGACATCTCAAAGACGTGATAAGGCGCTATATCGAGTTCCGGGATTATTATTAGGAAGGGATGTGTTCAGTTCTGGCCTCTGCAATATAAGGAGGTTGCTTAGGCCCTTGAGGCAGTGCAGAGGAGAGCAACAAGATGATTCTCCAAAGTTAGTGACCTGTACCTATAAGCAATAATTAGGCTCGCGAGGGCTCCTGAGTCACAAAATAGTGCATTCTTAGGGGGGATGGATGCCTACAGTTCTAAACTCCATACCCCCATCACCCCAGCCCTCTCCAGGCCCCACTGGCTCCCTATAACACCCACTACACTCCATACCCCCACCACTCCAGCCCTCGCCAGGCTCCACTGGCTCCCTGTCACATCCACTAAACCCCATACCCCCATCATCCCAGCACTCGCCAGGCCCCACTGGCTCCCTATCTCATCCACTAAACCCCGTACCCTCATCACCCCAGCCCTCACCAGGCCCCACTGGCTCCCTATCACAGACACTAAACTCCATACCCCCATCACACCATTTTTTTCATTTCGCCCATAAATATAGAGTCAATTCACTTTACAGTATATTCTGTGAAGCGCTTTGAGACATGAAGGCATCAAAGGCAAGGATTATTATTATTTCAAGATCCTCTCACTCGTCTACAAATCCCTTCATGCTCTGGCACCTCCCTATCTCATGACCTGCTTTCTCCCCTCTTCACCACCCGCTGCTTCCGCTCGTCTGGCTCTGGCCTCCTACGCTGATACGTTACAGTTCTTCTATTTCCATAAACGTTTCACCAATCGATGAAAACATCACCAGCTTTTATTCCTTTGTCAGCGGTTTGACTGAACAATTCTATTGCGGGGCACTGTAAACAATTAACTATCATTATTTAGTTACTGCGAGCGATCTCCAGTCCTTACAAAAGCAGACAAACCAGCTGCTTGGCCAACAAAAGTGAACAAAAGGGTGTCCTTGGCACACCCTGTTTTTTTTTCCAACTTCCCCTTTAATCCCCTTTGTAATTATTTTAAATGTGAACCCTCCAGACTCACTGACTGGTGCAAAGAATCCATGAATCGCTCCAGTTACTGGGGAGCTTCACAGATTTGCACGTCATTCCTTGAGCACCAGCCTGACTCTGAGCTATCACTTGCTTCGTTATTCACAATTTTCATTGATGTCGCAGCACTTTCACATTGGGGAGGATGTCTCAAGTAGCTTTGGGCAGCCTATCGGGAGCCTAGGCTTGGTGGGGGGCAGTGGGGGGATTGCTGGGGAGGAAGATGGTCGTGGAGTCCTGTAGAGTATTGGTTAGAGCACTCGCCTCGCAAGCGAGAGGACCCGGGTTTGATTCCCGGGCAGGGTGAAACCTTCAGCAAGTTTCCTTATTCCCCACGCCTCTCTTTACCTAGCAGTAAATGGAACCCGGTTGGCAAGTCGATTGGCGGGTTGCCTTTCAGGGGGTATTAATCCCTTAAGAAAATATATTTCTTGGTCACTCAATCCACGCCTGTTTGTGGGATGCTGTTGTGTGCAATTGGCTGCCCTATTTCGCCCACAAAATACATAGTCAATTCACTTTACAGCGTATCCTGTGAATGAAGCGCTTTGAGACGTCTCGAAGACATGTTAAGGCGCTGTATAAAATGCAAGAATTGCTATTTATTATTCTTGTTGTTAGTGGGGAAGAATAGCTGAAAGCTGAAAGCTGACCTGCTAATGAGTTAATTGAAGTACAGCATGGCCCGCATTTAAGCTGCAGAAAAACAACACGTGTGTGCGTGCGCCCGTGGGTATGTTTGGGGGGCGGCGGGGGGAGTGAGCAGGATTTATTTTCATCTGGAACTACCAAATAACTCTTATCTTCATAAGGTAATAATAATAATAATAATAATAGGCCTATAGTGCATACAATTTGTGTCGAGCCAGAAAATAAGAGCTGTTCTTAATACTGCTCCCTGCAGGCAGTAGGGTTGATGAATTAACAAATCAAAGGTTCACACATTGTCTCTGTCACCGTTCAGTTCCCCCTGTGCCAAATTCAGATTATTGAAAAGTCCCATTTTTTTTGTTCAAACAAATTGATATTGTTAGAAATCTAGGACAACTGTACAAAAAGTAAATGTTGTCTAGTTCCCAGCTGGTACCAGAACTAACCCCCACAGCACCAAAATTAAGAAATCTTGGAATGATTAGAGTACTGTACTATCTTGCATTATCATCTTCCAAGAATAAAAGATATTGTTAATAATAATCCTTGCATTTGATATAGCGCCTTATTGCGTCTTCGAGACGTCTCAAAGCGCTTTACAGGATACACTGTAAATTTTAGTGACTGTGTGTTTTGTGAGCGAAACGCGGCAGCCAATTGCGCACAGCAGCGTCCCACAAACAGTTGTGGATCCAGTAACTAAAATAATTTTCCCCGGAAAAGCAATCCGCCGATCGGCTAATGAACGGGTTACTGTGACTGTTTGGGGAACAACAGGTCAGTCTCAACATGCGGAAGAATGCAAACAGCTGTAACAGGGACACAACAATTTCCAATGAACCTGATAAGACGGATTCTATTCTTTCCAAAATATTGTTACGAGCGAAGGCCGCAGACAACCTGAACCAGACAGATTTGGTTTACGAATCAATCGGGGGAAAACCTCAGCGTACTTCCAGCAGCTCAAAGATAGACAAGACTCGCTGGCTCTGAAAGACACAGATGGGTACAGGCATTTGTCGGTTGACTACTCCTGTTAACCCCACAAGCCAAATTCTTACCAACCTGCGACTAAACCTTTTACGGAATTGGGTAAGCAGATGCTCCCCTCCAGGGAGAGAGTGCGCATTCCATTCCAACTACCTATCTCTGGAATAATAATTGCATTTTCCATAGCGCCCTACGTAGTTCAGGCGTCTTGAAGCGCTTCACAGGATGCACTGCAAAGTGTAGTGACTGTGCATTTTGTTGGCGAAACGCGGCAGCCAGTTAATAATAATAATAATCCTTGCATTTGATATAGCGCTTTTCACGTCTTCTAGACGTCTCAAAGCGCTTCACAGAATATACTGTAAAGTGAATTGATTGTATATTTGTGGGCGAACGCGGCAGCCAATTGCGCACAGCACTGTCCCACAAACAGTCATGGATTGAAATTCACCAATTTATTATTGTTTTATTTTTTGGAGGGATTATTATTAGGCTCTGTGTGGAGTAAGGAAACTTGCCCAAGGTTTCGCCCTCTGCCTGGAATTGAACTCAGGTCTCTCACTTGCAAAGCGAGTGCTCTAACCACTGAGCTACAGGACTCCACAGCAAAGTGTCCGACAAACAGCCATGGAGTGAGTGACCAAATTATTTGGGGGGTTGTTAGCCAAGACACCGGGGAGAGAGAAACACCATTCTCTTTTCGAATAATGCCAGGGGATCTTTTACATCCACCTGAACAGTTAACGTCAGTTTTAACATCTCCTCCGAAGGACGGCACCTCTGACAACTCAACACACAACTCTGCCCAGGAGTGCATTGGAGTGGTCAGCTCGAACCCAGGACATTCCGACTCGGAGGCAAAAATGTTACTACAGGAATTTCCATGTGTAGGTGGGATGCATGGAATTCTCCGCTTGGTTTGGAGACTCTTAAGCAACGGTGATGGGTTTCCCCATGTGTCAGACACCCGGCCAAACACAAAAAAAATGTGTAAGGTTACCCCTCTCTTGAGTTCACATAATACTTATATTGTCAACCCAATTTTATATTCACTTAAATTTTATTAACACATATACTTTGCACTTTTAGTTTCTCTTGGTACAATTCCAAATATAAGTTTCCACAACCGAATTGAAAACATCTTTATTCCTGTAACCTTATTGGGGAGAGGGGGCGGGGAAACAAAACAATTTCAATATACTACGGCGCGAAAATCATTTCTTTCTCGATCGAAATTTGATATCATAGTTGGGTTGGATCAATCCTGGACATTTTTCATCGCTTTTGGGAGGTTGATGCTTCAGTACTGTGGGTCTGATAACGTCGATGTCACGTCCTAAATGATCCAGCAAGCTTAGGATAGTGCTAGGCGGGGCTTCGAAATCCACCAAGAAATATCTGAAATGAATAGGATAGTATAAATAAATAAAGTAGGTCAGTATGATGGCTCTCTGTACATAGCAGAGACTTTAATACCCCTTCCCCTCACTACCTTAAACGCAACTCCATCTAAACGTCATTTCTGATTTGCGTGCAATGACGGGTTGCTCTGTTGGCGAGTCCTGTAGCTCAGTGGTTAGAGCACTCGCCTCGCAAGCCAGAGGACCTGGGTTCGATTCCCAGCCAGGGCAAAACATCGGGCAAGTTTCCTTATTCCACGCACACGCCTCTGTTACCTAGCAGTAAAGTAGGAACCCGGTTGTTAAGTTGATTGGCGGAATACTTACCCCCGGGGGTAATTAGCCCTTCAAATAAAATAATGATAATAATTTGGTGTAATAATTCAATCCATTACTGTACGTGGGACACTGCTGTGCGCAATTGGCTGCTGTGTTTTGCCTGTAAAATATACAGTTAATGCACTTTTGAAAGGCGCTATGCAAATGTAATTTGTTGATGTTTGTTGTTTACGGTAAACAAGAAAGACCTGTGGAGTCCTGCAGCTCCGTGGTTAGAGCTCTTGCCTCGCAAGCGAGAGGCCCTGGGTTTGATTCCCTGGCAAGGAGCGAAATGTTGGGCAAATTCCTTGCTCCACAGGCTTTTGTTTACCTCGTAGTAAGCAGGAAGCCGGTTATTAGTCAATTGACGGATTTATTTTCCGGGGACAATAATCAAAAAGAATAATAATTTCGTCGCTCAATCCATGACTGTTTGTGGGACACTGCTGTGGGTAATTGCCCACAAAATATACAGTCAATTCACTTTACAGTATATTCTGTGAAGCGCTTTGAGACGTTAAGGAAGATTTTCAGGCGGGACTTGAAAAGGGTGAGAGAGGGGGGGCAAGGCGGAGGGATTGAGGGAGAGTATTTCAGAGTTTCGGGGCGTAGTGGCTGAAAGCGCGACCTCCGATGGTGGGGCGGAGGGTGCGAGGGACGAGCAGGAGGCCGGTGCTGGTCGAAGCGGGTGGATTGGGGGGTGGGGGTTTGAGGAGTGAGGAGGGCAGTGCAATTCTGGAAATCACAAGGTTGTCAGAGGACAATGCAAACAGTGTTTCTGAGGATCTGGCAGCAGGAAGATCCACCCCCTAATGAGTGTAAATTTTCAAATTGGGTGACAGTCAAGGACCCTGTCAAACAAGATATGCTGTTGGCTGAGGTCACGAAGACCACAATGAATTTTGGACACAAATACTGTACAATAAAACACGCTCCAAGACTAAGAAACTCACACCACAGGCTTTGCCAAGTCGAACAGTTGCTAAGAAATTTTGTTTAAAAAAAGAGCTGCGCCAAACTCGCAGAAAAGTTTCGCTGTTAAATGCCAAGAAAAACGAACAAAGCACAACACAGTAGGAGGCCATTTTTTCAAGCTGGTGTTTCAAGACATCCATCTTGATGCCAATTCCCCGCTTTTACTCTGTAACCCTCTGATACCTTCCTATGTGGAGTCCTGCAGCTCAGTGGTTAGAGCGCCCGCCTCGCAAGCGAGAGACCCTGGGTTCGATTGCCAGGCAATCGTCGGAAGGACGTCTTAAGGCGCTGGACAGTCAGGGATTTGGACCTGAGCTGGGAGAGGGGGTGTGGTGGGGGCGGGAGGGGGGTGTTTGGGATCAGGAGGGGGTGTGGAGAGGGCAGGAAGGGTAGATGGGTAGGAGGGTTGCCGATTTTATGGTCGAAGAGGAGCGTCTTGAGACGTATGTTTGAAGGAGCATAATCAAATAAATAATCGTCCCAGCGTGGGTCTGAAACCCACAGCTTTCTGACCATAGGGCAGCCCACCACACAGAGGATACAGTTCAAGATCCTGGTCCTCACCTTCAAAGCCCTCCATGGCCTCGCTCTCCCCCCTCTACCTCCTAACCTCATAACAACCTGTCCGCTCCCTCTGCTCGGCGGGCTTTGGCCTGCTTCGCGTCCCCACCCCACTATCGGCGGTCAGGCCTTCAGCCGGTCTGCCCCCACCCTCTAAAACTCCAACCCGCAGTCCCTCCGCCTCGCCCCCTCGCCCGCTTCCGTCAAAACCCGCCTCAAGACCCTCCTCTTCAACCGCGCCTTTGGTCACCTTCCTACCCCTTACCCTCCCCGACCTCCACCTCCTCCTGATCCCAACCACCAGCTCGGGGGCAGATCCCAGACTGTCCAGTGCCTTGGGACATCCTCCTGACGTGAAAGGCGCCGTGTGGATGTCATCTGTCGTTTTTTTTGCCGTTGCTGTTGACACTCACGGAATAGCTTTACGTTATTTACCACAATTATCAGGTACGAAACTTAGAACAAAAATAATAATCCTCGCATTTGATACAGCGCCTTATCACGTCTACGAGACGTCTCAAAGCGCTTCACAGGATGCACTGTAAAGTGAATTGACTGTATATTTTGTGGGCGAAACGTGGCAGCCAATTGCACATAGCAGCCCCAGAAACAGCCGTGGATTGACGTGACCAATTTATTATTTTTTTCTTGAGGGATTATTTTCAGGCGGGTGTGTGGAGTAAGGAAAATTGCCCAAGGTTTCGTCCTGCCCAGGAATTGAACCCAGGTTTCTCGCTTGCGAGGTGAGTGCTCTAACCACTGAGCTACAGGACTCACTTATCAAGACTTACCCTGCACGAGTGTGCTGCAAATTGTGTTTAAAGATCTTGTACGGCAGAGCCCTTTCACCCAAGTTCTCCAGGTTCCTGATTACACAGTTAGTTGATTGGCGGATCGCTTTTCTGGGGGAAATAACCCCTTCAAAAAAATATAATAAAACGGTCACTTCAGTCCACGACTGTGAATTGCGGGACGCTGCTGTGCGCAATTGGCTGCCGTGTTTTGCCCACACAATATGCGGTCAATTCACTTTACAGTGCATTTTTTGAAGCGTTTTCGGACGTCTCAAAGACATGATAAGAACCTGTATCAAATGCAAAGATTATTATTATAATTAATATTATTGTTGTCTAATCCTGTACAAGAAGGGTGCTGTGTAAAAGTTTGCACGCGGATTATTCAGTTTAGCGAGGTTTGAGATCATTATCTCATGACTGGATCGGAGGTCAATGTTTTGTCCGATGGTGATGGACACATTGCTGTGGTTTGAAAAGTATTTGGAGATCTGTTATTCCCGTGACCATTCAGTAGGCCTGAAGCTAATCGGTTAAGAATTTTATTTTTAATAAAGTCATAAAGCTTTGTGATCAGTTTCAGTTAACGACAACTTCAAGTTAATTTAAGGATGATTAACTTAATATAATATGTATGTAATTTTGTATTTTATTCTGTTATATCCCCCTCGCCCTAAAGTGAAGATCTAGCGTTGAAGTTGTTTTCTCCATTGAGTGGATCATTTTCTCTTTTTCAGACAAGCGACCTGGGACACAGGAAGTTTAACTATAATCAGAATTTACACTTCGCAGTAAATCCTGTGAAGCGCTTTGAGTAGTTTAAAGCTCCGTATTAAGGCAAGGAGTACATTTTGCCTTATGTTATGCACCTGCTCTGTGCAATTGGCTGCCACGTTTCGCCCACAAAACACACATTAAGTCGTTCATATACAATGCTCAGCAGCTGTTAATCGTAAAATATGAAACACGCAAATGTGAAGAAAGCATTTTCTGTATGTATCGGCAAAAAAGGCCGACAAATCTAATGAACAAAATTATTAAATTCGGTCTCAATACAGTTTTCTGTAGTTCTTTAAAAACAACTGGCTTTCACATTGAACTGACGATCCCTCCACAATTCAGCGAAGTCATAAATTTCAAGATGAAATGGTCTGGCAGACGAAGGCTGAGACTTGGTGGAGTGTTGAGTCTTTGATCTGCAGCTGTGGAGAAGACAGAACTGCCAAACACAAGCTTCTAGTACTCTTAATAACAGTCCAGACTTTTGTAATTGAGCCAAGACGTTTAAAAAAGCTTATAGCCCTTTCAGGAGAATAGCTAATGTTGTACATTTTTGTAGCGAAAAGACACGTTTACCAATGCCGCAGATCTATAACCCCATCGCCTTGGTACGTCCTCCCGACACGAAAGGCGTTATACAAAGGCCCCCGTCCCCTGAGTGCTCTGATCGACCCTCGGCGGCCGTGCCTTCAGCCACTATGCCCCGAGCCTCTGGAACTCCCTTCCTCACTCCCTCCCTTCGCCTCGCTCCCTCCCTTCCTATTTTCAGATCTCTGCTGAAGACCTTTCTATTCGACCGCACCTTTGGTCACCTTCCTCCCCCTCCCCCTCCCGCTCCCCCACCCCCCCCCGGCTCGGCCCCGGGATCCGTTACTGTGAAACGCTCTGAGAAGCCGTCTGGCGTGGAGGGCGCTATATAAATCCCAGTTGTTGTTGTTGTCATCTATGCAAAATATCACAACTGTCATCCCCATCAACGCTGAGCAAGTTTCCTTACTCCGCACGCCTCTGTTTACCCAGCAGTAAGTAGGAACCCGTTTGATGGTCGATTGGCGAATCGCTTTCCGGGGGTAATAATCCCTCGAAAAATTCTGTGAAGCGCTTTGAGACGTCTTGAAGACATATCAAATGCAAGGATGATTATTATTATGATGAATAAATATTTTTTACTCTGGGAGCCTTGAATAGTGTTTAAAAACAACGTGATCTGGTTTGTCAAAAACACCCAACAACCTGCGTTTATAGAGCTCCCTTCAGTGGGGTGGAGGGGATGGTAGATTCCTGGGGCACTTTGTGAATTGCTCGAAAATGCTTTGAAATATTTTGCTGAGACTTTATTTGTAAAGATGTTACCATGGTAATCTGCCAATGGATTGTCAGCAATTTTCTGTGTGTGCTGCATACAGAATTTGAAAAATGTCTGTTCTCAACTGTGGGAGAGGATCTGTTGACCTTATAATCTTTTTATTTACTGTTGGTGTATGTATTATCAAACAACACTTGGACCCGGTTTCTCCTGACAATGCCGAAAGCTTCTTTAAACGTCCTGGCTCGATCACAAAAGTGCTAAAAACTTGCATTTGGGCAGTCCTGCCTTCTCCAACAGCTGCAGATTAAAGACTCAACCAACCACCCAAGTCTTAGTCTTTGTCTGGCAACCGTTCCGACAGATAAAATTGGCCGTTCACTTCTTGGCTTCTTGCAGGACATTGCCTTGGTCAAATTGGCTGCCATGTTAGCCTATAAAATACAGAGTTGATTCACTTTACAGTATATCCTGTGAAGCGCTTTGAGACGACTCGAAGACGTGATAAGGCGCTATATCAAATGCAAGGATTATTAAAATGCAAACGCTACACATCACAGTAAATCCTGTGAAGCACTGGTAGCCATCTCGAAGGTGTGATAAGGCGCTATAATCCAATACGAGAACTGTACGAGATGGCAGAGGAGTAAATCAGTATCTTAATAAAACAAAATTGAACCACCTTGTCCTTTAGCGGCAAGTCCTTGAGATTGAGTTCAATTTGGACTTCCATAAACCATTGGGGACTGTTCCATGGAAGGCTTTGATGAAACCTGAACTGAAAATATACAGTCAGTTCACTTCTGACGTAATTTCTTGGTTACAGGTTATTTTGTCAATTTGAGCACAGCAGTGATCTCGCAAAAAAGCCATGCAATTCCGTCGATTTGCAACAACCGCACTGCTTCTGTGCTCTCAGTTGACACCAGGGAAAGATCAGATTGGTAATACCTTTTTATTGCACAACTTGGTTTGAAAGGAACCAGTGTTCCTTCAAGTGAGCAAGAATAATAACAATAATAAGCCTTTCGTTTGATACAGCGCCTTATCACGTCTTCAATACGTCTCAAAGCGCTTGAAAGGATATACTGTAAAGTGAATCAACTGTATAGGTTTTGTGGGCGAAGCGCGGCAGCCAATTGCACACAGCGGCGTCCCACAAACAGTCGTGGATTGAAATGACCAATTTATTATGATTATTTTTTGGAAGGAATTATTACCGCCCGGAAAAGCGATCCACCAATCGACTTAAACAACCAGGTTCCTGGGTAAACAGAGGCGTGTTGGAGTAAGGAAACTTGCCCAACATTTTAGCCCGACGGGACTCGAACCCAGGTCCTCTCGGGTGCTCTAACCACTGAGCTACAGGACTCCACGTGTTCTGCTGCTTGATGTTTTGCGGATGCGACCATTGGAACTGTATTGATCTCTCTCCACTTCTCATTTCTTTTATAGCCTGAAACAGCTGCTGCCTTACGGCGTACAGTGGAGGCATTACTGGAGCGAGGAGC